AGGTAAAGCCAAAGCTCTCTTTGTCTACAGACTCCAAACCCAGGATTATTCCCCAGAAATAACCACTGCTGTTTTGGTGTGGTCGTTCCAGACCTTTTTCTATGCCTTGACATACATGTTATATGCACCTGTGGAAAATATGTAATGTTTATAAAATTGTTGGCCCTGTTTTCTATATAAATAGTACCAAACTATATGTAATTGTCTGAGACGTGGCTTTTTCATTCTGGAAATAATATGGCATGGAGCTCCTCCCCTGTCAGAGAGAGATGCTGAGTGAGCATGGGGCTTGTCACTTAGGGAAAGCCCTGAAGGGCATCTGGTGAGGTGAGCGCAGCTGAACCAGTCGTACAGGGGAGGCCTCCTCTGAGGCTCGTCTCTGTCTTAGGGGAAACTTGGGTGAGCATGGCTGGGCTTGTCACCACGGGAGGAGCTGAGCCTCACACCCATATGGTGCCGCTTCACTGTTGGTGACGAAGCTACCACGCCCAGGGGAGCCATGCGTGGGCTCATCACAGAGACCAACCTTCCGCAAGAGTGTCTGTGCCTTTCACGAGGGAGGCACAGGCCTCTCAAAAAGGGTCACAACTCATCAGATAGCCATGGTCTGTCACAGGAGAGAGTTGGTCCCAACTACGTTGTCAGTGTTCCTCTCAGGAACAGAGGCGGCACCTGCCACCTGGCCTTGCCCTGTGTGTTAGTGTCCTAGGACTGCCGTAACAGAGTACCAGAAACCAGGTGGCTTCAACAACAGTTTTATTGTCTGACAGCTCTGGAGCTGGAAATTCAAGATCAAGGTGTCGGCGGGCTTGATTCCTTCTGAGGCTGTGAGGGAGAATCTGTTCGAGGGTCTCCCCAGCACCTGGTGGGCTCTGGCAGTCTTTGGCACTGCTTGGCTTGGAGAAGTATCACACCAGTCTCTGCCTTCGCCTTCACGTGGTGTTGCTCTCCCTGTGCGTCTGTCTCCAAATTGCCCCTTTTTATAGAGACACCGGTCATACTGGATTAGGGCTCACCCTAATTAGACTTCATTCTAATTTAGGTAAGACAGGTAAAGGTCCCATCTCCCAATATAGTCACATTCGGAGGTATTGGGGGCTACGACTTCAACATGTGAATTTTCGGGGGACCCAATTCAACCCATAACAGCCTCTGACAGGCCTAAGTGTTCTTTTCCTAGGCTTCTCCTCTCTCATAAATATAAGTATTGATGCCACCTTTGTGACGGGGACAGCTGCTCCAGGGCCCCCCACACCCTACGCCTTCCCCCTAGACATGCAGAGCCCTGCACAGAGTCCGCGTGTGGGACCAGCCACTCTCACCGCGCTCCCCGCGTGGTACTCCCGGGTGTGTCGCACTGGGAGCAGCCTCAGACTCCCCATTGGCTAGCCCCCAACGTCCCCCAGAAGAGACCTAACTACTCCCATGGAGCCCTGGCCTTGAGTTCACACCCAGCCCCACTCAGCAAGCCTTCCTTTGGGACGTGCTCCCACCGAGGCTGGCCCCCATGAGGGCCCTGCTATCCCTCTGAGGCTTCCGGGACCACAGGCCGACACCCCACGTTAGCGTTTCTCTCCATGTCACGACTGTTCCTCGCATGAGGCTTCAGTGTTCAAGGGGCCCAGTCCTCAGGATTTCGTCTGTGTGAGGAAGGCACGGGGGGCTCAGCGTGTGCCCTCCTCAGACCCCAACTGTGTAAGAGGCCCGGCAACGTCCACCGGGGCTTCCACTCTGTGACGGGCCCCTCCTCCCGCTCACGTCTGGACTTGCCGGGATGCCACCCCTGAGCCACAGGCCCAGGTACTTGCTCTGCACCTGCCCGTGTGCCAGTCCTCGCGGTGCCTGTGGAACCTCGCACAGTGTCGGTCACCTGCTCCCCTCAGACTTGAGCTCGGCTTCTGTTAAGGCTCCTTGTTTGGCATGATTCCAACCTCGTGGACTAGGCTATTTCTAGTGGCAGAGGCCCAAGTACTCCCGCTGAGGCCTCCCAGTTTGTGACGAGCCCAAACGCTCCTCCCTGACCAACAGGCCCACATTCTCCATCTGTACCTTCCCTCAGCCCTGTGGAGTTGTACCTTGTAAACAAGCTCTGACCACTCTCCCAGGTTTCTCCTTTATGGAAAGACCCAGCTTCATGAAAGAGCCACCTGTCCCCACCGAGGCTATTTCGATGGAGCAGACCCAGCTCTCTGTGGGCCTCGACTTTCCCTGGAAGAAGTCCAACTCTTTACTCTCTCCAAATTTCTCCAGTGGGTGCTCTGAACTTCCCAGCAGGGGCTTTCTTTTTCCTTCTTCAGGTAAATATTCCTGTAAAATTGTTAGGAATTACATAAGCTATTCCTACCAAGGACCCCCAGTCTGACAGGCTTAACTTACTCCATTAAAACTTCTCAGGAGGATCGTGTTTATAAAGGACTTAGCAAAATGACTGAGACATATAATTGTTCCAAAATGTTAGGCATCGTCATTACCAGTGTTTTAAATGACAACACTTAGAAATCGTATCTATTCCCACTGTGGCATATTGCTTTGGGACAAACCCGACTCCTCTCCCTGAGGAGTCCTTCTTTAGCAAGTTAATGTTTCTTCCTCTTAGGGTTTTTTTCTGCCCTACAAGCCCAACCTCTGTCTTTGAAGCTTCTGGGGAAGCGGGCTCTGAAATTTTTCTCAGTATGAAAGGAATCTAGGTGTTCTCACTGAAGTATCTGTCTTTTTGAAAAGCCCAGCTCCTTCTACTTGAGGTAATTTCTATAAAAGACGCCAGCAACTGTGGTGAAGGCAGCTCCTGACTTCTAGCACGCAGCTGCCATGTTCAGGCTCCTCACCATCTTTGTGTCCACATAGTTCCCACTGGGGCTTTCTTTAAAGGCAAACCCATCCCATTGGGTCACCTCCCTGGGCAACAGACTCCCCGCTTCCACTAAGGCTTTCACCACCTAATTGCCCAAACTCCTTCTACTGACAGGACCACATCTGTCCTTTGGCTGCCAGCCCACCCAATGCCACTATGGCTCCTCGACTTTTGGCTCAGTTTTTGAAACCTGCCCAGTTCTTCCTACCGAGACTTCCCTGTGTGAGTTTGAATGTAAACACATGACTCAACCACTGTCACAGAGTGAGTGCTTAGGAAATGTGAGCTTCCAGATCATCATTATGTATATTGTCATTACATAGGATAAATGCATTCACTTCCACGAAGCACTCATTGGGTCTCAATTACTCCCATTGAGAATTTCCACTGCAGGAACATTCCATCTCCTTCTACCACTGATTTCCTGCCATGAAGGCTGTTCTTTGTCCTGTGGACCCAATTAATGGAAGGCTTTGCTCTGTGGGATGTGCCGAGCAAACCCTCAGCAACCTGTCCCTGTTGGCTGGTCCTCAGCTACTTCCATTAAGGCATCTCCTTTTGAATCAGCTCCATTCATTCTCATGGATGCAATTGTCCTGCTCTTTGGAGGGACTTACTTACATGACATCACACATTTCTTTTATTTCCTCTGGAAAGTTTCTCTCTTTGCCACAGCTTTGGCTTACTCCCACCAGATTTCTTCCTTGCTAATGGGTTCTAATTTCTCAGAGTTGGAAAAACCCAGCTCAAATCTTCATCTCCCTCCTTCCTGTGTTTATGATCTTGATCACTGCTGTGAAGGTTAAATGAAACAAGCAACATGGAAAAACCTAGGCCAACGCCTGGCCCCGAGTCAGAGCTCAGTCAATAGTGGTGTGGTCCAGCAATGTCTTCCCTGAGCCTCCTTTTCCCATGGAAATACTCATAATAGATAACATTTATTGAGCTTTTACCATGTGTCAGAACTGTGCAAAGAGCTGTGCATGTATTATCCTCAGTCAATAACCACTTTATAAATAAGAAAACTGAGGCATAGAGAAGTTAAATAACTTACCCAAAGCCAACAACTTGTAAATGACGAAGGCCCATCTGAATCCACGTCTTGGTGCTTCACCACTATGCTAACTCTCTATTGCTCCTATATTCTAGTCAGGGAGAAAATACCCAGAGAGAATAAAACCACCTTTTCTCCTGATCTTTTCCAGCCTATGAACTTCAAGAGTGCCCAGACCCAGAGCCCTTTGCCAGTGGCATTGTGAGGGGAGCTGGCTACAATGTTGGACAGTCAGTGACCTTCGAGTGCCTCCCAGGATATCAACTGATTGGCCACCCTGTCCTCACATGTCAACATGGCACCAACAGGAACTGGGACCACCCGCTGCCCAGGTGTGAAGGTATGTCCCTCCCTCATCCCTGGTGATTCTTCCTGGGGTTGTCGTGGAGACTGATCCCCAGCAGTCCCACATTCCACCTGCCTGCTCCATGGGATCGCCAGGGGAACATTGTCCATCCTGTTTTCATACAGAGGTGACCCAGCTTAGCCAGAGAGAGCGTCCTGGTGACAGAGGTCTGAGCCAGCACTAGGGAGATGTGGGCCACAGCCAAGGGGAAGATACACCCAGCCCTTGGAAAGATCCAACCTAATGGACTCCCCGATCCTGTGTGGAAGGGAAGGCTCCACATGAGGGTGTGGGATCCCAGTGGCGTGCCGAGGGGCCGAGAGGTAGAGTTAATGATGGCACCTTCCCAAAGGGAGAAGAGAATGAAGACTCTCTCTAAGAACTTTCTTGTTCCCCTCTACCCACCCCATTAGTCTCTCCTTCCTACATGTGTCTGGAGAGAGCTGAGTTGATGGTGTCAGGGAACTGGAGATGGCACTTTCTTGGGTCTTCTTCCTTCCCCAGAACCAGGATGGACGACGGCTGAAAGGTCGTGCTGCCTCTACCCCCATCAGTGCACCTCAGTCCCATTTTCCTTCCTTTTTCACTCTGGCAGCCGAGCATTCTCCTGGAAGAGAGGCTGGAATTTGTCTTGGAAGGGGAAGGTGTGACAGGGGCCACAAATCAGCGTAGGGTGCCCTGGCTCCGTGCCTGAACCATGTCACCTCTCGAGCTCCAGTTTCTCCCTTAGTAAAGTGGGTCTTCTCATCTCTGTCTCCCAAGAGCTGGAGGGTTTCACAGATGGCTCGCTCCCAGACAGCGAACTCTCAGCATTAACTCTCCACAGAAAAAGAGACCCTGTTTGCAGAACTGAGCTGCTCTGGTGTTGGAATATAAGACTGTTTTTTCTTAAACTATTAAACTCCCAGTTAGTTTTTCAGATTTTCAGAGCCCCCCTGTGCCTAACCAGTTGATGGTTCAGAATTGGCTGATCACGTGCTGCGTGACAAGCTTCACTGCGGACCTCAGTCCCTCTTACTCCTCGTTTGTTTCCGTGTGGCACCGTTGGGGGGAGGAAAAGGGCAATTCTTTTCTCAGGCTGCTGTCCTGAGCCAGAAGCTCCTCTCCCTTCTGAGAAACCTGCTGCTCCTGGTTTCTTCGACACCATATTCGCTTGCTTTTCCAAATACCTTTTTGCCTGTGCCACCTTTTTCGGTTCATCTCTTCCTTTGTCTGCCCCTTAAGTATTGCTGTTCTCTGGGGTTTTTCCCAAGACCTTGTCTCCTTCTTACTAAATATCTTTACTTATTTCAGAGGTATTTAAATCCAAGCATATTCAAAATTGAACTCGTCCTCCTTCTGCCATTAAGCTGAAATCCCCCTCTAGTGACGGGCACCCCTAGTCACCTGGTTACTCAGCCCTTCCTTTAGGCACCTCCTTCCTGCTCTTCTCCCGTACTCACCAAGTCCTGCTTTCTCCGTGCTAATCACCTTTCGAATGCCTCCGCGTTTTTCTCTCCACTGCCTCTGCCTTAATCCAGGCCACCACCTGGATGAGCCCCTCACGGGTCTACCTTTCAGTCTTACACTCCTCAATACATTCTTCACGATGTAGTGAGAATGAGCCTTCGAAGCCATCAGTATGATGTCCATTCCTTTGGGTGTACACCAGAAGTGGGATTGCTGGATCATGTGCAAGATCTATCTGTAGTTGTCTGAGAAAACTCCATACTGTTTTCCACAGTGTTCGTAGTCATTTACAGTCCCACGGATGGAGAGAGCGTACCGAGGGATACACAGTGGAGTGGGGGAAAGGGGGACGGGGAGGGAGGTCAGGGATAATTGGGTGGGGGACATGGGTTATAATCACGATTTGGGGTAATGGGCATGCTGCCAGTATGGATCTGGCCATCACATCACGGACATGAGTGGTGGCAACCAGCTTTGTACCCCATGAATATTCGTAACCAATTAAAAAAAAAAGAAACCAAGAAGTCATCAGTGTGCTCCTGCCACGCCCCTGCGTGGAAGCCAGCAAGGCATCCCCGTCTCCCTTGGGGTACTTTCCAAACCCTTTAACGTGGCGCACCATGTCCCTCCGGGCATCCTCCACTCTGCACGGACTGAATGCTGCAGCTAAGCTGAAATACTTTCCACTTTCCCACTGCGCCATGTTTTCTTGCCTCTGGTTCTTAGCACATGCGTTCCTTCCTCGTACAACACTCCTCTCCTCTCCTACCTTGCCTCCTTAGCCCTAGTCTCCCCTCGGGTCCCAATCTCAGTGTAAATTCTACCAGGAATCCTTCCCTACTCTCTCAAGAGCAGAGGAGGGGCTCTGCCGAGTGTCCCGCAGCATTCCACGATGACGGCAGCTCCACCTGTGCTGCGGACGCCGCTGCACTTGGCTGTGTCCTGGTGGACTGTGAGTGCCACGGGACAGAAGTAGAGCATTGTGCTCCCCGCTGTCTCCCCAGGCCATGCCTGGCACATGTAGGAGGGATGGTGTGTCCGTGTGCACTTTCTGGGTGCATTTGCATTCACAGGAACCTGTCCTCAGTCTGGTCTGCCCCCATCCAGATGTCTGTTTGATGCCCCACATCAGCCAGAACCATGCATTATTTTGGACCACGGTGTTTGGAGGGTTTTTTTCCCAGCATCCTTGTTTATTCTCCTCCCTGGTGACTGAGTCTGAACACCATGGAGACTTCAAGGCCCCTTCATCCACCTGCCTAAAGCCTAGATCAGACTGAGTGTAAAATTGGGTGTTGCTTTGGGGAATAGGAAGGTAAGGGTAGAGGATCATATCTGTTCAGCAAATGTCTCCCCTGTGAGCAGGGCACTGGGCTGCACATTTTACATGCAACATTCTACCTCATCACTGCACAGTGCCATGAGGGGCATTCTTAGCCCCATTTTTCAGGTGAGGAACTGAGACTCAGAGAAACTAAACTACCTGTCTGAGACCCGCTGGTCAATAAATGGCCTAGCCATGATTTGGGCTCGACTTTAGCTTCGCCACAAGAACCCTCAACTCTGAGTCAAGACCAAGCACTGCTCTAGAAAGAAAATTGAAGAGAAAGAAAAGGCTACTTTTATAATTTCTTAGCTCTTCCCAGCAAAAGACTGTAGCCCTGACCCTAACATCTGTCCCTTCCTGTTCCTAGGAAGGGAGAGGGCACAGCTTCGATGTGTCCTTCCTTCTTGGCAGGTCTGTTCCATGAGAAAAGGAAAGAGCGGCTGAGGTTGAGTCAGACCCACAGACGCCCCTAAAGTAAAGACTGGGGGCCAGAAGGGGGGTGGTGTGCTGGGACTGGTGGGTAGAGCCAGGCACGGCCATCCTAAGCCCAGTCACCTTCCCCATCCCTCCCGACCTCCTTGACAGGATGACTTGTGCTGGGAGCTGAGATTTCGTTAGGAAGGCATCTGAATTCTCAGGTGGGTGGTGCTCTCCAGCACTCATCTGTGTGTTCATGTTCCCTCCCTGGCAGTGCCCTGTGGCGGGAACATCTCCTCTTCCAATGGCACTGTGTACTCCCCGGGGTTCCCAAGTCCGTACTCCAGCTCCCAGGACTGTGTCTGGCTGATCACCGTGCCCATTGGTCATGGCGTCCACCTCAACATGAGCCTGCTGCAGACAGAGCCCTCCGGAGACTTCATCACTATCTGGTAGGGCCAGGTGCCATGTCAGCAGCCATGAGAAAGGAGCATTTGCAGGGCTCTACCCTGGGTCACCCATGTATTAGTTCAGAAAGCCAAGAGCTGAGTGGTTTTAGATGGTGGTCATCCTCCTGGGTTTCAAATAAACATAATGGAATGAGACTCGGCTTCAATTAGCCATTGTGACTCCTTGAAGGAGAGGATGGGAAGGCAGACCTCCCAACTAAGGGTCCTGCTAGGGCCAGTGAAAGTGCCAATGGGGGTATGACTGGGAGTGGGCATGGGTACACAGACTTTTCTAAGTATTTCCAGAGTTTAAACCAGCATTCTACATGTACCTGAGATAAGTTACCCAGTCTAACAGCAGAGGCATGAGGTAGAACTTTATGAAATCCCACTGGCTATCTCATGCTGAGCCAGCACTGTCCAACAGAATTTTCTGCAGTGACAGAAATGTTCTATATCTGTGCTGTCCAATACGGTAGCCACTGTCATGTGGCAACTGAGCACTTGGATGTGACTAGAGTGACTGAGAACAATTTTTAAACTTTAATTTTAATTAATTTAAATGTACATACCCACATGTGGCTAGTGGTTACTAAATTGGACAGCTCAGCTCTGAGTTATATAGTTATATATACCATGATGAGTTAATTTTAAAATGAGAATACAAATTTTAGTTGATAATTGCAGGGGTTTTTTGACAATTTTTCCCAAACCACTGAATCTTTGGACAAAGATGTAATTTTTAAAATATTTTGTTTGGAGATTACTGCCATTCTGAGAATCATCAGGGGATAGTAGGATGCTCCTCCACAATTCCCAGGGCTGGATGACTGTTGCAATACTGCCCCAGGTTAATTTGCAAGCAATGGCTAAGCACAGAGTAGGGGATGGGGGGTGGACTAGATAAGGTTATAGAAATCTTTTGCCCAGAAAGGCAACATGGGTATGTCTCTTTGCTTGAGGGGGACAAGGAAATGGGCCTGGCATGGACAGCAGCAGGAGAGCCCTACACCAATTCTGCAGCCCTGTCCTAGGGCTGCCTCAGGCTGAGAGGACCTGCAGGAGACCTGCAGCCCTGCTCCATGGCACTGCGTTGCCTCAGGAGCCCCTGGGGAGGCTGGGCTGGTGAAGGACCCGGGGAAAGAGGAATCAGTGTGAGCTTCACTGACTCTATCAGCTCACTGGGAGACCGAGTTGGGGGAGGTTGGAGAAATGTGTTCAGTGCACTGGGGAAAGAGTGTTGGGTGCAGGAAGAATCATAGCCACCCGCTCCAGGTGTCTCTTAAGGCCACTGACGACACCAGGTGGAGCAGGCAGCCATGGTGACTGGTGATATTCTAGGACCTTCTCTCCTCCATGCAGGGATGGGCCACAACAGACAGCTCCACAGCTTGGAGTCTTCACCCGGAGCTTAGCCAAGAAAACGATGCACAGCTCTTCCAACCAGGTCCTGCTCAAGTTCCACCGTGATGCAGCCACAGGGGGGATCTTCGCCATAGCCTTCTCAGGTCAGTATGGAAGTCTGGCCTCGTGGAAAGGGCCAGGCTCTGAAGTCAAGGCCGGGCTTGACTCCTGGCTCCACCATTCGCTAGCCGTGTGATGCTGAGTGAGTTGCAGAGCCTCTCTGAGCCTCAGTTTCCCCAGAGGTATGAAAAGTGAGTGTACTGGCCTATGTGAGCACTCGCAGTACAGAGTTCCTTAAGTGCAAGTTCTCCTGCTCCCCCACACAGCCAGAGCAGAGCGGCACAGAAGGCTGAGCCCTGGTGCCAGCCTTCTCACTCATGCCAGCTCACTGGCTGGGCTGTCCTTTACCTGTGTCCAGCTTGTCTCTTAGCACCTTCTGGAGGCTTGCCCCCTCACTCCAAGGGAACCAGGGCCTCTGCTGACCTCGCAAGGAGTGCTGTGTTTTTGTGCACAAATAAAGGCACAGTGATTTCAAGCAGAAGAGCATAAACAATTCAGGGTGGGTTTGTCCTTATCAGGAGCCTGTTTTCTTCTAAGAGTCCAAAGTAATGGACCTGGATATTTCTTCATTTTTGTTTATAGCAAACACTGCATAGAAAAACTTAAAGAAAGTTCTCTGTGGTCTTGTGCCCATCTACAGAATGATGTACATGTTTATGGTTTACAGAGCATTACATATATTTGAACTGGAAATCAGGAAAGCTGGATTTTATTCCTGGCTCCCCCTTGGGCCAGGTATGTGTGGCCTTGCGCAGGTCCCTTCCCTACTTGAGACCTCAGTTTCAGCATTACATATATTTGAACTGGAAATCAGGAAAGCTGGATTTTATTCCTGGCTTCCCCTTGGGCCAGGTATGTGTGGCCTTGCGCAGGTCCCTTCCCTACTTGAGACCTCAGTTTCCTCGTGTGTAGAATGAAGGGCTTTGAGTTTGTGACCTCCAAGGATTCTTTGAGGTGGATATTTTACCCCTGTTTTACAAGTAAGGAAATGGGGGCAAAGGAAGGCGACAGTACTTGCCCAGAACTTTGTGGACAGAATTGGGGATGGAGCTCAGTTCTTTCAATCCTGCAGCATCCGCTCCGGTGCAGTGGCTCAGTGCTGTTGCTTCACGTGTGCATTTATAGAAACTTGAACACATGCAGCCCTAAGCCCACGGAAGAGGTAGCAATAGAGAAACAGAAAGAGACAGCAATTGTAATGTAAAGATCATAGGCGGCTCTGGCTGCCATTCCCAGGAGCAGTGGCCAAGGGTGAGTTTGACATGGAAATGAGACTCTGCCCTTTCGTCTGCCCCAGTCCCTATGTCCGTCTTGTTGGGCACTCCCCACTAAAGGGACCCAAGATTTAAGGCTGTGTCATTTTGACTTGTGACTTTCCCACAGAGTGATGGAGTGTGGACTCCAGAGTCACAGATGTGGGTTCAAATCTTGGCTCTGCCACATATAAGCTATGTGAGCTTGGGCCTATCATTTCACCTTTCAGAGCCTCAGTTTCACTATCCACCAAATGGGAAGAATATAAGTGTCTAACCTCATAGAGTTAAATGAAAGAAGGCACAGAAGTCCTTAGCTCCAGGCACAGAATACAAAAGATACTCAGTAGATGGTAGATTCAGTAGTCAACATCATCATGACTATTTTTATTATGTTTAGATAGTGACAGGCGCAGTGTGAAGTCACCTTGGTGCTAGGCCAGATCTCTTTTTTCTGTTCCTGAGCCTTCATCTGTGCCAGGAACAGGTAAAGGGAGCTTAGCACAGCCCTACGCCATCCTGTTCCCAAGTTCTCCTAAGTAAGTCTCCCCATGAGAGCACGTGCTTCAGGGTATTTCCTGGGCACAGTGCCCCTTCTGCTCTCAGATGAGATATGAGGCTCTTGCTATGGTCTGAATGTTTGTGCCCCCCAAATCCATGTGTTGGAATCCTAATCCCTAAGGTGATGGTATTAGGAGGTGAGGCCTTTGTGAGGCGACTAGGTCATGATGGTGATTAGGGCCCTTATAAAAGTGACCTGATGAAGCTCATTCACCTTCCACCATGTGAGGATACAGCAAAAAGACAGTTGTCCACGAACCAGTAAGGAAGTCCTCACCAGACACCGAATTTACCAGCACCTTGATCCTGGACTTCCCAGCCTGCTAAACTGTAAGAAGTAAATTCCTGTTGTTTATAAGCCATCCAGTCTATGGTAATTTGTTATAGCATCCCAAATAGGCTAAATCAGTCCTTAACTATCAACTGAAACCATAGTCGAAGTTGACCAGAGGAGCAGGCAGAGGCCTGGGAAACAGAGGAGCCACTGCTGTACGCAGGTCAGCAGGCTCAAGTGGGAGAGGCACCGTGCTCGGGCGAGTGCATGAGAAAGGCACACTCCATGCCTCCTGGAACTTTAGATAAATAGTGGAATATATCATACACATAAAAAGTGGAAGTAACATGCATGTGCGGCTTAAAGAATAATAAAATAAACACCATAACTAAGCCTAAGAAGAAGAACATGCAAGTCTTTGAAGCCCCTGTTCCTTCCTCAACACATTCTCCACCTCTCCACCTCAATGAACTTCTTGTTAGTCGTTCATTGCTTTTCTTTATAATTTTACACCATGTGCGTGTGTCTCCAAAAATATATGTTGTTTAATTTTGCATGTTATTTCTGTTTTGTAAAGAGAATCATTCTATAAATGTTTTCCTGTGACCTGCTTTTTTCACTCAAAATTAAGTTTCTGAAACTCATGCTGATGCATGTGACTGTACTTAGTTCATTTTTCAATGCTGTATAATTCTGTTGCATGAAAATACAGCGATTTATCTAGTCTACTGTTAATGAGCGTTTAAGTTATTTTATTTCAAACAATGTAAGCATTGTTGCATATTCCTTATTGTAAACATGTACAAGAGTTTCTCTAGAGTGCCTGCCTGTGTGGAATTCTGAGGCTGTAAGAATCCACGTATTCAGTTTCACTAGGTAATACCAAATTTATCTTACAAAGTGGTTCTAACAGTTTACACTCTTCCCAGCAACTGGTTCCATTGCTGTACATCCTTGCACACACTAGGTTTTATTGAACTTTTTAATTTTTATCCATCTGGTGGATTCAGGAAATGGCATTTCACTTTTATGTTGATGAGACTGAGCATCCTTTTGTATCTTTATTGACCATTCATGCTTCCTGCTCTGTGAAATGCCTGCTTCCCATAGAGCTTTCTTCCTCCAAGGAGAGAGAGATTATAAACAAGTAAGTGGGCAAATAAAAGTTTTTCAGTTTGTAATATGGGCTATGAAAGAAACAAATAGAAGGCTAATATAGTGAAGAAAATGATGGAGAATCTTCTTCATGTAGAATAATTGTGGAAAATTTGTCTGAGATGTGATATTTGAGACAAGAACTAAAGAAAAAGGAGCTAGACTTGCAGAGACTGAGGAGCCGGAGAATTTTTGCCTTTCTATAGGCAAACATTAGTGCTAAATAACTTTCTTTTTTTTCTTTTTAAAATTATTATTAGCATAATAATTATTACAAATCGTGATTTTTTTTTTTCTTGTCTTTTTCGTGACCGGTAAGGGGATCGCAACCCTTGGTGTGGTGTCACCCACACCGCGCTCAGCCAATGAGCGCACTGGCCATTCCTATATAGGACCCGAACCCGAGGCACATGATTTTTCTTTATACCCTTTACCCAACCTATCCCTCCCCAAACCCTCTTCCTCCCCCACCCCCATCTCCATCAACCTCAGGTTTGTTCTCTCCTTCTGAAAGTTCAGTGAATCACTGTGGTCTTTTCTTTCTTTCTTCTTTCTCTCTTTCTTTCTTTCTTTCCTTCTTTCTTTCCTTCTTTCCTTCTTTCTTAGCACCCAGTTATAATTGAGAACATGTAGTATTTCTCTTTCCTTGTTTGGCTTATTTCATTAACATAGTTTTCTCCAGACTCATCCATGTTGCTGCAAATGGCAGAATTTCCTTCTTTTTATGGCTGATTAGTGTTCCATTGTGTAGATATACCACATTTCCCTTATCCAGTCATCTGTCAAAGGTCACAGGCTGGTTCCGTATCTTGGCTATTGTAAATACAGCTGCAATGAACATGGGAGTGCAGGTGTCCCTTCGACATGATGATTCCCATTCTTTTGGATATATACCCAGTAGTGGCATTGCTGGATCATATGGTAGTTCTAGCCGTAGTTGTCTGAGGAACCTCCCCATAATGTTCTCCATAGTAGCTGTGCTAATTTAAATTCCCACCAACAGTGTAGAAGAGTTCCCCTTTCCCCACATCTTTGCCAGCATTTGTTATTCTTTTTTTTTTTTTCCCCCTTTTTGTCTTTTTTCGTGTCCGGCAACGGATCGCAACCCTCAGTGTCACGCCCATACCGGACCGGGACCGGCAACAGGATCGCAACCCTCG